CTTAAAGGGCTACGCTTATACTCATAGAATCTGGGGTTACAGTATGTAACCAACGTTTTCAAAAGGAACCATTTTTACACCTAGATGTAAAAATGCAAAAATGGAGGTTGGTACCTCACTCGTTTTTCAAGTTATCATGCTCACAACTAGTCTGTTTCTAATTTACCCTCTTCGCTCCTCGACGGGGGATAAAAAGAGAAGTAGCACAAACAGGAAGTCCAGCGTGTGCTCATTTTGTGGGGAACAAAACATTTCAAACGGTTTGAGTTTACTAAACGTTCTGAGCAGAGACTGTTGATTAAACTAACTAAATAAATAAATAAATAAACTGGCATGCAGTCTGAGGTGTGTGTGTTAATTTCTTTCTTCAGCTCTACATTCATGTCCAAACCTCAGTGTCTGTCCTCTGCCTCTGAGCAGCTCTCTGTTTTTAGTCATCTGAAACTCTCCGTGGTGTCGGGCTGTGATGCGTTGCTGCTCACCACATGCCTTAAACAACAAAACGACGAGTGGTGTAGTCGTGTGTCGGCTCATTCTCACCTGCTTCGGCTTGCCTTTCTCCACTCGGGCCTCTTTAGCATTGGAGATCTGCAGATGAGACGGGACAAAGATTTAATCATGTTTCCATTCTTGTACCAGGAGAAGAATCCACTGTTGTGTGAATGTTGTTTGACAAGTATTTATTTTATTTTATTTTTGGTTAAAATTATCTTATGTTTTCCTTTATAAAAGAAATAGCTGCAATTTCTTAATTTAGTTATTTCACATTTTGACCATGTTCCAATTGTAAATAAAACACAGATTTCTAAGATTTTATATCAGTTTAATTTATGACTAAATAAATAAATGTTAATAATTAGACTGAAAACAACAGCACTAATTTTTACAGTGCGTTTTGGCTCTTTTTGAGGAAATGTTGTAAATTAAGCAGAAATAAAACGATTGTAGACAGAGGGCTACTCTGTCTGAAACCAGAACGGTGTAAAAAACATAAGGGTCGTCCTTTAGTTCTATAACAAGCAGTAAAGTTTAAGCTCTTTCTATAGTTTACAAACTGTCAGTTGTGCAGCGTTCATTCATTTTTCACTAAGTACATAAATTTTGCTTTAACATAATTTTTTAATTATAAAATTATCGTAAACTCGGACAAACAGATATTTTGCCCATTATAAAGTGGGGTTCTGTGAAAAAGTAATCCACAGTTAATATCTTACCTGTTGTAGATGCATGGCTCTTTGACGGACCTCAGCATGGAGAAACGCTCTTTAATTCTGACTTGACTGATGAGCTAAAGGCTGGTTTGAGAGAGATCTAAACAAAGTGGAACCTGCAGCTTTAAAACAACTCCAGTCCTAAAAGTTTCACAACAGCTTATGCAAATTCTGATATCCCTTTAATTGTGCCCTGAGAGGCTCTGTATTCAAATCTGAGTTAATATCTGTCCGTTAACGTGTTACATTTTGTCGGTTTCATGATTATTTTAGCATAAATTTGATAAATTTCCTGATAGAAGTGACCCTGGGCTGCACCTAAAGAGCTATGCTAGCTCCTGCTGATGCTATTTCCATGTGTAAACAACCGTTTTGACTTTGGTGTAACAGTTTATAAAAGAAAGTCTGGATGCACCACTTTAGTTTTTACATGTAGGTAGTATAATCATTTTCAGTCAAAGGCAAAAGTCTTCATCCAGGCTAGGCTCACAGCTAACAAAACAAGGGCTTATTTCATTTTGTTCTTCAGGCTTAGAATACTTTTTTCTTCATATCTGTGATTACATTAAAGATGTGAAAGAATGCAACATTGGCTAATGTTAGATGCCACACTTTGCATGTTTGTTTAATTTTGTTGCTTCTTAATGTGCATGTGTTGAGCCGTGTGCTTCATCGACTTGTTCAGTTAGGCTAAAGGTTTAGTCTCCTTCCACTAGACTGATCTGCATTATTATCATCAGATAACACTAAATCTATGCCCTGCACACACTCAGGTAATAGCCATGCTAAAAGGGAAGAGGTCAAATATCAGCTGAAGCTAAATTTAGCTTACCATATTTTCGCTGTACAAGTCATAGTTTTTTGCATAAATTAGCATGCCTGCGACTTATACAGTGAAGCAACGTATTTATGTTTTTCCCCATATTTAGTACAACTCAATTTTTGGCTGAGATCTGACGATTTCATTCATTCTGACAGAAAATATTGAACACTATCATTTTCAGCCACTAGAGGGCCCTCAACTAATATGGCAAGCCAAATGTCTTATTAATAGGTAAAAGTGGCTATTAATGAGACACTTGGCTTGCCATACCAAGCCACCTTCGTCTCGATCTGGAACTCCTGGAGCAAACATCAAATCAGCTGCATTTCACCACGTCGCCCAGGAGAAATGCAGCTGATTTGACCATCAAAGTGCATTTATTAAGGAAAAGTTCAATTGAGACACACCTTTACTATAATGTCAAGCAAATAATTGTTTTTAAATGTTAATCTTGTTAAATTCTTGTTGAAGTCCTTTCATGCACGCTCCCGCAGCCGCCATTTGGCAGACAATTTTTGGCACAACACGGCCCGCATTTCCGGTTTGTCAGCAGTGGCTTATAATAGATGTGATGTATATGGCAAAGTGACGTATTTATGTTTTTTCCACTTTATTAGACATATTTGGACTGATGCAACTTATACGGCGGTGCAACGTGTACGGCGGCAAGTACGGTAACTTTAGAGATAAAGTTAATGCAGCATTCTTTCACACTGATACAATGTGCATGCAATAATATAATTAAAACATTGTTTGATAAGCCTTAAAAAGAGACTTAATGTGGCTAGCTGTCAGCCTAGCCTGGGAAAAAACTTTTACCTCTTTGCTCTACAAATGATGTCACGACTGATGAGGTACTGCGAAATATTAGAACATTAAATGACCAGACTATCCCTTTAAAGCTCTGCAGAAGCAGAACTCCACTTTGGTCTTAGCTCGGCTCAGTTCTGTCAAAATAAACTATTTCTTCCAGCTGAGGTCATTCGAACAGTTGTCTACAACAGGTAAGATATTAACTGCTCACAACAGAACCACACTTTGAAACATCTCTTTAAATCAAGAGTGGGCAACTTTTTTTTTTTTTTCCAGAGGGTCAAATCAAGATAAAAAATCAAAGGGCCACAGAGAACTGGGTTTAAAAAAGAAATACTTAATACTTATATATGTCACCAATACTATTTAGGAATTTAATACAAACTTTCTGTAAATTTGATCTTGTGACAATATATCTGTTCGCTTGGTTTGTTGCTTTTGGAGTTCAGGTTTCACTCCAGGTTTTGAAAAACAATTGAAAAAGTTTTAGTCTGTCTTAATCCAAAGGCTTTTGATGCATTAGTCCAAGATGTTAAGACTTAAGTTTAATTGATAAAATGTGTTTTATTTAACGATTAGCAATACTGGGGAACGGAGATTGTCCAAGGGCCACTTTTAGCCCTCGGGCCATACGTTGCCCACGTCTGTTTTAAATATAAATTTTATTAGCAGAGTATTAGTGAGTGGTGTTTGATGACCCTTTGTAATGTGTCATGTTTGGAGTGTGTGATGGATCTGTCTGAGTCTGTGCTGTGGGGAAACGGGCCGGCCGATGAGGACACACACCCTGATTCTGCAGTAGAGGATGGTCAGGATGATGCCGTACAGAAACAGGATGCCGTCCAGAACGTAACAGATCCCAGGGTCCGAGAGAGCAGCTGGACAGAAAGACGACAGGAGTAACATCAGAAACATGGTGATAAAAAGAATAATGAAATAAAACAGTGAAAACCAAAACACACGGCCGAGTGTCGACACGAGTGACGACACGAGTGACGACGATCACATCAGAGATGAAAAGGCCGAGGTCAAAGTTTCAGATGGAGAAACAGGCAGCAGACGTTTCATAACTCAGGACGACGTGTCGCTCAGAGCTGAACGGATCAGTCCTGTCATTTTATAATGAACTGGTTTTGTCTCATACTTCCTGGAAAATTCAAACAGGTTCTGTTTTAGCTCCGACAGATCGTTTCTTTTCTCTGAACAAAGAGGAACTGAAGTAAAGACTGGAGGAAATACGTTTAGAGAAATTCAAATGAAAGAATGAATTAGTTAAAATCACTAAAGCTTTTAAAGGACAAATTCAAAAGCAGCTTTTTTTGTTCTGTTGTCACAAACATGAGTTTTCACTGTTGAACAAAAATTTAAAAATACCAGCAAAAGGAATGGAAAAAGACTTTTTAAGCTATTTTACACACATTTCTTATTTTAAAGCAGCAGACAGAGTGAAAACAGGTTAGTTTAATGTCAATGTTTTTATTTTTTACTAATTTATGAAGCTTCCTGACAGTTATTCACCACACAGAAACTCAACTTGTGTTCCTGGTTCTTCTTCTAATGAAAAAACATTTAATGTCATTTTGTGCTCAGTGATATAATAATAATTTATTGCTGCTGGTGGTGATTGAATTTGTGCATTAATGATGTCAAACAACTTCATTTATTTATTCTTTCTAACATTATTTTATATTTATTAAGCTCTTAATAGTTTTTTTCATGTGCTCATATTTTTCTCCCTCATTTAATATTCCTGATCAGGCAAAACAACCAAAACATTTTATTTACAAATAACACAAAGGAAATTATTTTGATTGACGTGATATGTGTGACATAACAACAACAACAACAACAACAACAACAACAACAACAACAACAACAACAAAATCATTATTTTAACAATAATAATAGTCAAAATAATAATTATTAATATTATTATTATAACAATAATAATTATTATTATAATTTTAATAACAACAATAATAATATTTTAATAACAACAATAATATTTTAAACAATTATAATAATAATTATTATTATCATCATAATGTGTTTTATTTGTTAGCACCTTTCAAGACACCCAAGGAAACTTTTCAAAATAAAAATAAAAATTAATACAATGCAACATTACAATAATAATATTTTAAAAACTGAAATTAAATCAAGGAGTAAAGTCTAAGAAATTAGAGTGAGAAGTAACTTAAACATGAGTTTTGAGTTGTGGTTCAAAGGTCAGAAGAGTGAATATTACTGTCATTTTAACTGAATTCTGAACAGGACTGGAAGTCAGTGGAGTTGCTGCAGGACTGGGATGATGTGGTGGAAAGAGAGAGGTTTTTTGGTAATGATGCAGGCAGCTGAATTTTGGACAGTTCAATGCTTTTGGAGGGATTTGTGAGGCAGATTAAAGAGGAGAGAGTTGCAGTAATAAACTTGGGATATAACGAGACAGTGAATTAAGACAGAAGCAAAATGTGGAGAGTGAAAAGAGTCGGTTGATGTTTTGAAGGTGGAAATTTTCCGACGGGGTAATTTTTTTTTTTTTTTTTTTTTTTTTTTTTTTTTTGTGAGCTCAGTTTAAGTGTAGAAACATTGTGAAGTGTTTCAATGAACTTATCATCATCGCTCAATTTTTTTTTTTTTTTTTTTTTTTTTTTTTTTTTTTTTTTTTTAAAGAAAGAGAAGAAAGAAGAATAAATAAATAATAAAAAAGAAGAAGATAAGACGAGAGACCACCATGACAAAACAACATGCACAGCACAATGCCACCCACAATATCACCATGAAACATTCGACATCACACAAGGAATCATCTAGCTTCCGCCACTACCCAACCTAGCGTGCATCTGTCAAAGCACCTGAATCCAAACACCCGCGCAAGCACGCCCACCACCACCAGATTTCTCCAAAAGAATGCCCAATAGTGGACGCGGGGGCCCACAGACCCGCCCCCCCAGGACACAATGGCAACATAGGGAGGACCGGAGCCACAGACACACAGCGGCCCACAGGCCCGGAGCCCCAAGAGTCTCCCAACAGGGAGAACCGCACCCCCCCAGAGAGGAGCAGAGGAAAGAACCGGGTGACCCCAGCCACCACAATGCAGAGCCTCCAGGAAGCTGCAACGACGAGCCCACAGGCCCGGCCAGCGACCCATGCCCCCCCCAAGTAGATCCGGCCATGGACACCGAGCCCCAAGCCCCGAGGCCATACCACCCCCTAGCAGAGCCCCGACAGAGCCAGGGCACCCAGGCCCCGCCAGGCAGCAACCAGGGCGGACCGACGTGCACCCCACCACCCAGCCCAGACACCGAGAGCCACCAATGCACCGGCGGCAAGGGAGTCCCCAACCAAAGGGGGGCACGACCGGGGGGAGTGGACCCCACACCAAACGTGGGGCCCAAATTGATCCCAGAGAGGGGGGGGACCACCAAAAACCCAACCCGAGCAACCAACAGGCACACACAGATAGCCCGACAGAATCTCTGTCGGGCCGACCGCATGCACCATCTACCTGACAGCGACCACAGGCCGGCCCCAGCCCAAGGGGCAGAGCAGCAGGGAGCCGCAGCCGAGGAGGGCCGGCTCTCACATCAAGAGCTCCGCACCATAGGCCCGGAGACGCCCCAGCACGCCACCCATGCACCCCCCCACACACACAGCACCCCCACTGCAAATGCCACACAGGAAGACCAGCCAGTGCCCAGATGAGGCGAAGCCACGCCCCCAACCGCCGCCCTACACCACCAATGACCACACGTACACTACCATAGCCGACCCCCCGCCGAAAGCCGGCAGCCACCCCGGTCAAAGTGCCGGCCATCGCAACCAGGAACCTAGATTAAAAGAATCGGAACAGCCCAGGAGGAACCGAAGCACCGGCCCCAACACTGACCGCCCCCAAGGCCCAAAGCCCACCCACAGCCCAGATCCCAACAATGCGCCCCCCCCCCTCCATCCCCGACCCCTAGTGTCACACGGAGAAAGGAGGCGTTTGTGAAAGGGGAAAAAAATAATAATAATAATAAAATAAAATAAAATAAATAAATAAATCTATATATGCATAAATAAATTATGAACAGACCCACTTCCTCCTCCTCCCACTCGAATATGGCGTTGATGCATGTTGTTATACAGTGCGTTTAAAATGGGGGGATGAGGTGGCGACCGGCACAGACCCACCTCTTGCCCAGAGAGCAGGCAGCGCCCGTTCACCCCTCATCTCCGCACAGAACCCTAAATGTCTACATGCTACATATGAGAGTGGGCACAGGTCCGGGGAGGTGGAAATGGTAGTACATCCCACCACCTAAGTGCGATCATGTGCCCACTCCAGATCCTATATATGCATGTGTCGTGAGAGTGTTATAAGTGAGTGTCTAGGTTGTATATTAAAATTAGGGCCCAGGACCCCACCAGCCACGGAGATGGATGATTCTCCCCGTAGCTCAGTAGTGCATCTGAACCCCAAAACCCTGTTTGAGTGGTGGTGTGGTGGAGTGGGCGGAGGAGGACGTTGGGATGGGGAGGTGAACTGAGGTGGCAATGCCCCCCCAGGGGACCAGCTCCCCCACTGACCCCAATAGGCACCCCCACTCTCCAAGATCCACCAGGGGACAGAGGCTCTAACAGAGATACCTAGGAGGAGGTGGCAGCCGCACCACCAGGGATCAAGGCCACGGACCGGCACATAGTCCCCGAGGACCAACCAGAACCAGGGCCAGCAACCCAGACCCATCCCGAAACCGTCCAGACGCCCCAACCCGATTCCCAGCCCAACACCCAGCCCCCCAACCAGAGAGGCCACCAAACCCCAACCGGGACAATCAGCCAGGAGTGCCCAAACAGTCAGAGATAGAGCACTACAGCGACCAAGAGCGCCCCCCCACCCCAAAAAAGCAAAAGACCAGTCCACCCATAACAACACCCACAGCGAGAGCGCCCCATGCAAGTGAGGGCACACACCCAGCGAGCCCAGACTCCCCCGGCCCCACAGCACACAGCCCCCCACACGAGAGCCCCCAATATACCCCACCCCAGTCACAGTCCCCCACAGCCCCGCCCCCCCAGCCAAGCACCACGCCGCGGCCACCGCCAGGCAAGAAGACGCCCAGGTTGAGCCCGCCGGTCCCCTCCCTCAGACCCATCCCCCCCATCAACAGTCCCACCCCCCCACGGCACAGGCCCCAAAGCCCACCAACGCACCGAAGGCCCCAAGGCCAGGGCCGGGCGCCGGCGCACCCGCCGGCCCAAGACCCCGGCAACATACCTGTGTAGTGAACTAGATGACCTCAAATCTACCAGATGGACAGAGACTGTTATTTTCATTGATCTGAATAAGTCTGGGCCATCTGATGACTTTCTTTCTTGAATTAATCAAGCAGAAAAGACAATCCTCTATAATCATTACTGTCTTACAAATGTTTGATAATCAAATTGTGTTAGTTCACTCAATGCTTTACAGGTTGAAAAGAACTACTCATTTTTATTTTACATAAACAGTAAGTAATGATTTTTATTCCTCATTCAAACAAGAAATCACCTGAATATGCATTTCTTGATTTTCTGTCTGAAATGAGTCAAGTCGTAAGTGTGTGAAAGTTGAAGCTTCGGTCAACTAAATGTTTACTGAAGAAGAAATGTCATGTTTAAACTTTTTCAGAAGATTACCAAGAGTTGGCTCCACGAAGTCTGCTTTTTGCAATAATCTCTCTGTCAGTTGTTAAACAAATTTCATTCTCTGACCTCGACTTTTGATAAACACCTTACGTCAAAACCACTCCTCTTTCTGGTCCATCCACGAATCAGAAAGCTCTGAAGTAAACCCGGAAGTAAACTCATTTAAAATGTGACAACTTCCCGGTTCTGTTAAAGAGAGCAG